TTCTACAAGACACGGGATGGCTGCGTGGCGTCGGCTGACAGTTGGTGAACCTGCAAGTTGGCTCGGCGGAAATACTTACCTCCATATATAATGTAGAGGCAGAATGGCCGAGTAGTATCTGCATGTCCCGCCTTTCCCTCACGCTGGCCCACCGGAGTAACAATAACAACGGAGCGCACAACCTCTCCGATCCATATGAAGGGCCCAGGACCCCTCGGCGCAGCCCGATTGCTTGCCTGTTCTGCCGAGGTTCGTCGCTTGCGTTGGAAGTTTTGCCGAGGATTGAATTGACTTGATGTATTAGGTAGACATATCAAGTGTGGTACGTGGAACCAATCAAGAAGGTGCAACTGAAAACAAATCACCCTAGATGGCGATCGGCCTCAATGCTGGCAATGTCGTCAGCGCAGCTACGCGTGCACCTACCGCGAGACGTTCGTGCCTTCGTTATCACTTAACTTTGCTCTGGATTAAGTTCTGTTCTGTATGGTTTGGTAGCGACGAGGCATTTCGGAAACGGAGTAATTAAAGTGGGGACGCACTTGGAAAGCATTCACATGTAATGGTTTTGCCGCTCGCATCTATGCTCGTTGCGTTGGGGATTTGAATGAATTGACGCACGCGATTTGATTTCTTTACATTATTTGGGCCGGAGTGGGAACAAAATAAAAGGGTTGCATTCGGCAAACAAACAAACATAATACGTATTTTTTTAACGGAGGCGCGGGCGCAGCGTTGTCAACTAATACCCATGCGTCAAACGATGAAAAGGGGAAAATAGGGGGCACTGACTGACAGATTACACGACCTGGACACCTCCCCAGGTCAATGCTTGGTTGAATGCATCAAGGGCGAGACGCTGGGTAGTATACGCTTTGCGCGCGGCGTGGGCAACTCCGCTGATCGCGATGGCAGACAAAGCACTGGGAGGTTTTGCGGAGGATCAGCGGAACAGATAAATAAAAGAAGCAGGGGCACTTACAATTGATCGACTACTCCTACAAAATGACCCCGCGTGACGGCGTACCATTCAGGCGCGGGTTCTTCTTCTTCAATAGGTTGGAGAGGCTCAGTAGGAACAACGAGATAAACTTGATTCGCATCATAAGGGCCTTCGGTGCGAAGAAGCGCGAGCAGCGGGGCCGGAAGGCCGGCACCGGCAGGAGTACGGGTGGCAGCAGCAGCAGCGGCGGCAGGGGTAGTCGACTCGCACAAGGCTGCAGTCGCGGGTGGAGCCGTGGCGGCAGGAGTCTCGGCCGGGGCGGCAGACATGGCAGGAGTGGGGACAACAGAAGAAACCATGGTGGTGGGGAAAACAATTGAGGAAGTCGAGATGGGGAAGGAAAGAATGAGAAATCCGAGGCCAGCTATGGGAGAGTAAGGAACGGAGGATACGATCGAGATCTCGTGCGACTTACTGGGAACTGCATTGAGAACAGAGACTTGAGGAGCGGGAGAAGACTGGTTGCGGGAGTGGTTGGTCATGTTGGGGAAATAGGAAAGGAAGATAAGCGATAGCTGAAAAGATTGCTCTTTTAAAGGAGAAACTGGTGGGACAATGATGGACATACGGCGTGACACTGTGTTATGTTGATTCCCACTGAAGTTTGTATCGCCTCTAGCCAGAGGCGTGATATCCATCCCCCCTGCGCCACCACTTGCGATTCGAACAACAGGGGATTGTCTGTCTGCTCTCAAAAAATAAAATCGCGGTGAGTAATTTCGTAGCTTGCAAGGGAACTCATAACTGACCGGTGCTGATATTGTCAGACGTGTTCCACAATGAAGAAGCCTCGTCAACGCCAGCGTGTCTGGAAACGAGTAGCAAAACAAGACCGGCGCAACTTGAAGATGTGGGCTGAAGGGGCCCGCGAGTCCATCTTGAAGCCACATGTTGCGGACTATGCGGATGCCCTGGAGCGTGGTTGGCGCGCTGAGCGCGACTACGTGCGACGGGTGTGCAATGAATTCCATGCCAAGATTCCGTGGCGACTGGAAGACCACGAAGAGCCGGAGTTACCTTTGCCAGAATACGACGAGTTCGCTAGCCCGATAATGGAAGAGTTGAGTGAGGAAGAGGCCAATGCGAAGCAAACACGCATTCAGACCATGGACGCCGTGAGTTGGGAGGTTATGTGATGCCGATGCCGCGTGACGCTGATCGAAACTTTCCCTCTCGCAGCGAATCGGACGGTGGCTCAAATACAGAGCTCGACGACTCAAACGGCCCCTCAAGATGGATCACACCCGAGATCCGTGGGCTATGCTTCTGTTGAAGCTAGTGGGAATTAATAGTCCACCAAAGGCTCGTCAAGCGTTCCAGCAGTACATGCACGAAAGCTATGAATCCGAAATCTCTCCTGCCGTCTTGGCTCGCTGGGAGGCATCTTGCATCGAGACAGACGGCGTAACTCTGAGGTCCAAGAAGTCTCCGAATGCCCCTTTCCGCGCGCAGGTCGCACGTGAATTGTTTGCGGAACTTTCAGGACGCGTTGCGTGGCCGATGCAAAGGCAGCAAAAGACGTGTACTCCGCGGCAATGAAGAAAGGGCCCTCAAAGGCGCCCGAAGACAGGCAGAAGTAAGTTTTGTATTTTTTACCAATTATATGTCTATGCCTGTCCTGACTTTTGTGCCGCCAGGTGCATCAATAACCTGGGCACATTCATGTCAGCAATACTCCAGGGCGTGTATGAACATACAGGCCTACACTCGTTCATAGTTTTCGGAGGGCCTATGCCTCAGTTCGGCGGCGATCTGAGGACCTTACAGTGCGTGATAGTTTTTTCTTCTTGCGGATTCTACATGATAACACCTACTGTCCAGTGTCGCATATGGTCGGAATCGTGATCCTTCTCCATGTCACTTTCCGAACTGGATGAAGGCCCGCTTCAACAAGGACGTTCTAGAGTTTATGAGAGAATATTTACCGACGGCTTTCAGTGAGTTGCAAAATAGGATTATTACACGAAAATATTCTAATACGACATGCGTAGCACCGGAGGAGTGTGCGGAGGCAGCACTACCCGACACTAGGGACGGCGACCCGGCACCCATTCCCACCGACTTAGGCTTCGCCAACAATGACGAGGACTCAACGCCATCAGAGTCGTCAGACGAGGACTCTGACAGCGACACATCCGACAGCGAAATCGAGGAGGACCTCAGTGCAAGGAAGGGACGGAAGAAAAAGGCAGATGAAAAGAAGGGGAAGGCCGCAAAGACGAACAAGGGCAAGGAGAAGGACGGCGACAAGAGGAAGAGGAAGGGTGATGAGGTGGAAGGGGCGAGAAAACGAATGCGGGCAGAGGAGGCAATGGGGAGCGGGAGCGGGAGCACAGCACCACCACCGCCCGCAGATCCCGTAGAGGAGACTGAGCCTTGGGTCGACCAGCTCAGACGAGAACGCGAGTACAATATTGCACGCAATAACGCCCTCCTGAGGCAGCTAGACGATGATATGAGGGAAAGGGACCCCGAGCTGTGGAGAGAGGTTGGGATGGGGAAGGTGACGAAGCCCGCGACGCGGAAGAGGAAATCGGGTGGTAAAGGACCGCAAACTGCGGCAGTGCGGCGGTCAGCTCGTACAGGGGCGTCAGGAACGTCAAGCCCAGGTACGTACGGTGGAGTGCATGTACAGACAAGCCCTGATTTCATAAACAGCAGATGCGGAGATGGAGAGCATCAACAGCACCCCCGCGGCGACCTCAGCTGATGCTGAAGAGACCCTGCCTATGCTTCCTGCGAACGCGCCGCCCCCACCACCAAACAATGCCGGGGATGTGGCCATGACGGACGGCAATGGTACGCCCACGGCGACCACGGCGACCACCTCATGCGAGGGGACCCCGCCTGCACCTCCTTCTAGCGCGTCTGACGCGCCGCCACCGCCGCCAACCTCAAACGTGTCCGACGCGCCGCCGCTGCCGCCAACATCAAACGCGGTGCCGCAGACCGCTCCGACTCCCGCCCTGAACTCATCCTCCCTGGATGCGGTGACCCCGACACCTTCCGGGCCTCCTCCAACAGCGGTGGGGCGGTCGTTTTTACTTGGATGGGGGACGCGAAATGAAGGCGAGGCCCGCGGCACTGGGAACGGAAAGCAGGCCGTGCCAGCGCAGGGGGAAGAGCTGGTTCCGCCTTGCCCCGAAGACGCGCCGACCTGGTTTAGGAGGGTGTATGCGGAGGTCTCACAGGAGAACCTGGGCGTCAGCTACAATTCACTGCTGACACTATTCACCCAGATTGAGCGGGGATACAAGTGGGAGAAGGGTGGCAAGGGTCTCGCCACACTCCATCGCCCGCCACAGGTGGGCGCCTGGGTAACCGCTGGGCGCGGCGCACGAGGCGGCGCTATGGGAAATGGCGTGGGGCCAGCCATCCTGGATTTGGCAGTCTTCGAGGAGCAGTGGTGGCAGTGGTGGTCGGGCCTCCAGCCAATGTGGCGCGTTGCAGCCAAGGGCAACACGGGCAACGGGAAAGCGACCAGTTTGAGGTTTTCCCGAGACCTGTATCCAGCGGCGGGTTCAGACGCATGGCAACCTTTACGCCACCCAGGGCCCAACGGGGCTTTGAGTCTCGTCGGTACACTGTACTGGTGGGGTGTAAAGCTGCAGAAAGAAGGTGTGCCGCGAGAGGATCGGGACGTCTGGCTGGAGGCAGTGACAGATGTGGATTGGATGCTGCGTGGCCTTCTGGCAGCGGAGAAGCGCAGCGTGTAGTATTCCTCCCTCCCCTGACATTTCGTGGGCCGTGTTTCGTTATCTATGGGTACATTTTTTTGTTGAATGATTACTGATGAATACATGTCTTGATTTGAGTCTGGGATAATAGTGGTGGCCATCGCTGGGGAAAGAAAAGACGAACTGGGGCATAGAGCCCCAGTAGTCTTTTGCGATTGTATTGGAGGGTCTCATTGGTAATCGCTGGTGAGACGGTAATTTTAGTTGAATTTTATTAAAGGCCCATGGGTACAGTACAATGACTCCTTACCTCCGTAGCAGACCTGGTGTATCGGTAATACACCTCGGTTAACGTATTCATTCGTCCGGCTTTGTAAGCAATTTGCCGAGCGTTCCCGGTTCGACTCCGGGCCAGGTCGTGGATGGTGATGGGTGGGCTTTTTTCTTTTTTTTTTATCTTCAGCGATTAAGGACCCTGAAAAAAAAAAAACATCTTTTAACAGTTATCAAAATGATATAAATATAAATTTTTATGTGCTTAGAGGTGTCCTAAAAAGTTGATACAAAAGTAGCGGGAGGTATAAACATAATTTATATGTGCTTAGAGTTGTCCCAAAAAACTGATAGAAAAGGAGCGGGAGGGGCGGGCAGGGGGCGGGGAATTGATGGGATGCTTGATGGCGGGGTGGCAGGGAGGGATGCCATCAAATAGCGATGGGGGGCTGTATTTGGTGCAAAGGCCGGTTAGATGTCATATAGTTGATGGTGCATCAAGTATAAGAAATCTAATCGCAACGGGAAAGTAACCGAGGTAAAGTGATGGTATCTGCTAAAAAAGGGAAATCAAAGGCACCCAAAAGGGCTGCTGGGCACCGGGAAACCCGGGCAAAGGCAGGGTGAAAAAGGCCTCTGGCCAGGGCCCTGGCTACAGCCGTGCTAGAAGGCAAAATGTCCACCTGGCTACACCCAGGCCATTTTGCCTTTATATTACAGCTACGGCTCCCCTCCCTGCGCCAGCCCGCCCTTGCTGCAGAACACCGAGCGCACATGCAGCACACAGCGGCCGCACCTAATAATCCCACATAACCCTTCATATCAGAAGGGGCATACCCCCCCCTGTGTGTGCCCCTTCTAATATGAAGCGTTTGAAGAAAAGCCAGTGTGCTGCAAAAAATGCTGCACGCAAGGTCCAAATATACTGCAAAGGCACTGCAGCATATGAGCCTTTGGACTTAGAACTCTCAGTTGTTACTTGTATTAGGTAATCCTGTTGAGTGTTGGCTCAATAGTGGGAGTTGGAATGGCTCAAAAAGGAAATTTTCAAGAAAATACAAGAAAAATAGAAGAAGAAAATGGAAAAAAATGGAAAAAAAAAATATGAAGAGGCTAATGTGTCTGACAGTGGAGGTGGGATATCCAAAAAAGGAAATTTATCAAAAAATATTGTAAAATACAGGAAAAAATACAATAAAAATAATAACTCCCTCTGTGCAGCATATTCACCTCTGCGACTTGAAGCTTTAAAGAGAGAATGTATTACTTAATCCTGCCAGGGTGGGATACCTAAAAAAGGAAATCCACTAAAACATATTGTAAAATACAAGAGGTAAGCAGGAATTCCCGATCAAACACAGACCTCCTTGACAGGCAGCCACATCAACGACTTTTGACCGCCGAAATCAAAAACTTTGAATTCAACACCGTACTTCGCCCAAGCACGTTCTGAATTTTTGGCTACCCTCCCATTTTCACATATTCTACACGCGCTGAGGGACTTGAACAATTATTTAGAGATGGCTATCGGATGAAATAAATAAATAATCTTTGTGATGGGTGATGTCAGCTACATCATCGATCACTCTGAGGACGCCGAAATGGATGGTGCGGCGACTCTCGGCGACGGGTAATTGATTATCACCTCTAAATGATGGCTAGCATTGGCTGCGGTGTACGGTCCGTGATCCGCACCCTCCCTCCCTCCCTCCCCTGCACAGCCTATCAAAACTTTGAGAGGTTGATGTCAGAAACTTTAGTTCCGCTTACCTCTTGGTAAAATACAAGAAAAAATAAGAAAAAAAAAAAAAAAACACTCTCCCCCCTCCACCCAGTCGCCATTGGATGAGACACCTAAAAAGGAAATTCACTAAAAAATATTGTAAAATACAGGGAAAAAAATCACCACTCTTGTCCCTCTACCTATTCTAGTTAGAATAGGTAACGTAGTAGATTTTATTAGAAGGGAGATGTAGTGGTCTAAGGCTACTTTCAAGAATTAGCAGCTGATATAAATCACAATTAAATCATATTTCTGCTATTTGTATTGGACTTGATGGGTCCTGCCATTGCCTTGAAATTGATGGCTGTCTGTATTGAGTGCTATAGCTGCCTGACAAATGATGGCTGCCCATATTGAGGTTGCAATTGATGCCTGGTTGCATTAAATACTAAAATCTGTTCAAAAAGCGCCGGCTCTCGGAAAGTATTTTGCATTTTACAGGCCAATGAGGCTGCCAATCACAAAATGCTATAGATGACTCTTGTAGCCCTTGATGAGCTCTACAATTTGGGTATAGGGATCAAAGGTTTGGCTGATGACTTTCCTTTTTGGGACACTAACGCTTTCATCCCAAAAAGGAAGTTTGCTACATTGGCCCTTCTCTGGCTCATAATTCAACCATTTTGGATGTTCTACCTGGATAGGAATGTTGTTCTAGGTTCTTTGAAGCCAACTAGGACACATTAGAGCCTACTACATTGCAACAATAGGGTGAAAATAGCAAAGCTGATAAATTGTTCCCTGGCCATAATATCCTGGGGATACACAAATGGAAATGACTCTGGAGTGCACTACCTTGTTTCTTCAAGCTACAAAGATACCCTCCAGGTGGTTTATTGTATTCCAATGATGAAAAACATTGCAGTTTGGTCATACAAAGAAATTTCACTTTGACCCTATTATGTATTCCTCCATGATATGAGATACCCCAAAACACATCCTTTGGGATTGGATGATGTATTCATAGTAGTAAAGTAGGCAATTGACACCCAGGGCACCCTGTACCCCATGTTTCAGGCTGATCTTGTTTTGTATTCTTGTTCACCATATTCAGTATGCCACAGGGTCATGGATGATGTTCTGAAGGTTCTTACTGAGTTGCCTGGGCAATATGACCAGTTTGGGGTCAAAAGACAGGCCAATATATGATGATAAAACTCGAAAATGCTTAATGACACCTTTTGCCTATTTCATGAATAGGGCATTAAGGAGATCATTTAGTGGGAAATAGACATTGGAAGTAGGATCAGACAGTGAGAATACTAAATTTATTTCAAGTGTTTTGGTGAAGTTTTAGCCAGATAGTGTTTTGAACCATAGCCAGTATACGGAGCAAAAGTTCTACTCAAAACCCATATCCTCAGAAACAGAATTCAGTCAAAACTTCACCAAAACACTTGAAATAAATTGAGTATTCTCACTGTCTGATCCTACTTCCAATGTTTATTTCCCCCTAAATGATCTCCTTAATACCCTATTCATGAAATAGGCAAAAGGTGTCATTAAGCATTTTCGAGTTTTATCATCATATATTGGCCTGTCTTTTGACCCCAAACTGGTCATATTGCCCAGGCAACTCAGTAAGAACCTTCAGAACATCATCCATGACCCTGTGGCATACTGAATATGGTGAACAAGAATACAAAACAAGATCAGCCTGAAACATGGGGTACAGGGTGCCCTGGGTGTCAATTGCCTACTTTACTACTATGAATACATCATCCAATCCCAAAGGATGTGTTTTGGGGTATCTCATATCATGGAGGAATACATAATAGGGTCAAAGTGAAATTTCTTTGTATGACCAAACTGCAATGTTTTTCATCATTGGAATACAATAAACCACCTGGAGGGTATCTTTGTAGCTTGAAGAAACAAGGTAGTGCACTCCAGAGTCATTTCCATTTGTGTATCCCCAGGATATTATGGCCAGGGAACAATTTATCAGCTTTGCTATTTTCACCCTATTGTTGCAATGTAGTAGGCTCTAATGTGTCCTAGTTGGCTTCAAAGAACCTAGAACAACATTCCTATCCAGGTAGAACATCCAAAATGGTTGAATTATGAGCCAGAGAAGGGCCAATGTAGCAAACTTCCTTTTTGGGATGAAAGCGTTAGTGTCCCAAAAAGGAAAGTCATCAGCCAAACCTTTGATCCCTATACCCAAATTGTAGAGCTCATCAAGGGCTACAAGAGTCATCTATAGCATTTTGTGATTGGCAGCCTCATTGGCCTGTAAAATGCAAAATACTTTCCGAGAGCCGGCGCTTTTTGAACAGATTTTAGTATTTAATGCAACCAGGCATCAATTGCAACCTCAATATGGGCAGCCATCATTTGTCAGGCAGCTATAGCACTCAATACAGACAGCCATCAATTTCAAGGCAATGGCAGGACCCATCAAGTCCAATACAAATAGCAGAAATATGATTTAATTGTGATTTATATCAGCTGCTAATTCTTGAAAGTAGCCTTAGACCACTACATCTCCCTTCTAATAAAATCTACTACGTTACCTATTCTAACTAGAATAGGTAGAGGGACAAGAGTGGTGATTTTTTTCCCTGTATTTTACAATATTTTTTAGTGAATTTCCTTTTTAGGTGTCTCATCCAATGGCGACTGGGTGGAGGGGGGAGTGTGTTTTTTTTTTTTTTCTTATTTTTTCTTGTATTTTACAATATGTTTTAGTGGATTTCCTTTTTTAGGTATCCCACCCCGGCAGGATTAAGTAATACATTCTCTCTTTAAAGCTTCAAGCCGCAGAGGTGAATATGCTGCACAGAGGGAGTTATTATTTTTATTGTATTTTTTCCTGTATTTTACAATATTTTTTGATAAATTTCCTTTTTTGGATATCCCGCCTCCACAGACACATTATAGCCTCTATTTTTTCTATTTTTTTTCTTCTATTTTTCTTGTATTTTCTTGAAAATTTCCTTTTTGAGCCATTCTAACTCCCACTAGAGCCAACACCCAATAGGATTACCTGATACAAGTAACAACTGAGAGCTCTAAGCCCAAAGGCCCATATGCTGCAGTGCCTTTGCAGTATATTTCAACCTTGCGTGCAGCATTTTTTGCAGCACACTGGCTTTTCTTCAAACGCTTCATATCAGAAGGGGCACAGGGGGGGGTATGCCCCTTCTAATATGAAGGGTTATGTGGGATTATTAGGTGAGCGGCCGCCGAAGAGCGCAGTACCACCCTCTGCGAGCACACACCTGAACGTGCACGGCGCAGAGGGGGGGGCGGCCAGGACGGGGGCGCGCAGTTGGTCCGCGCAACGGCGCCGCCTGGAGCGCAGAGCCTGAGCGTGGGACGTGGGGCGTGGAGGTTGCGGAAGGGGACGGGCGCGACTGC